GCAAATATTTTCTTCTAATCTAGGTCTACTTCAAATTAATAAATTACTAAAATTAATAAAATTATTAAATTTGATAAGCTTTTATCAAACAATTATTAAAAATTAAGAAATCAATAAAAATTAGTATTGATAGGATAATTAATATTAATAATAAAAAAGTAACAAATGGTATATAGCTTAGCCTAATCTGATTAGATCTATAAATTTTAATACTCAAGCAACTATTTTCTTTTGAGTTAGGTATAGCTTAGATATGTACTAAGCCCATACATAATGTGAGTAGTGGGGGTGTAAACTGATCATATTCGAATCAAATCCAACTACATCCATATCAACATCTGATTATGAAATTTCTAAATCTTCATCTACATTTGATTATTATTATGTTGGGTTTTGAATTTTAAAGTATAAGTGCATATATGTATAATTACACATAATATCTATGTGTATACAATAATTATACTACATATATAAAATAATATTTTTTTATTAGACATGAATTTTAATCAAATTGGATGGGGTTAAATCTACATCCAATCAAATTATGAACTATATGAAATTCTAGCATCCAAATCTGGGATTATCGAATCCGAAGTCTAATTGGGTGTCGAATTGCCAGAGTCCATTGATGGCCTAATAGATAGGTCCCAAGCTAAGTAACCCTAATAAGCTCAACTTGGAAGTTACATGCATATATGCTAAATATTATTATATAATATTTAATTAACAAATTATATATATATATATATATATATATATATATATTATTTTTATATTAGAATATAATTAAATAAAATTTTTAATTTATGAAAAACCATAGGCCCAAACAAATACTATTACATTTAAGGTATGGGCTAGGCTAGGCCAAGCAATCTTAAAAAATGCTAATACACTATCAAATTTTTCATTGGGCTACACAATGGGGGTAGCCCATCCTTCATAGCTCCTTTGGCTTTAATATTATCTAAAAATAGTTAAAAAAACTAGAAATAATGTATGCATGGGTTGCACTCAGCTTGGTTCAGTCCAATTATGAATGTTACAATGTGTGCAACTTGGGTGAGTTGGGCCAAGATGAGAATAAATCCAACCCAAATCCAAAGTCTTAAACCTTAAGTTTGGGCTTAGATTTTATGAATAAGAAAGTTAACTATATATTAATTTAATTATGACTATAACCTAATTTTATAATATTTACTAATCTTTAAGTATTTTAAATATTTAAATGATATTTAAAAAAAATTGAAACATTTAATCATTAATAAAATAAAATAAATAAAATAGAACACTAACAAATAAGATAAAAAAATAATTATTTTATTAAGTAATTAGCAATAAGTTGTTATTTTTATTAAAAATATTAATATAATTAATCCAAATTACTAAATTAGTAAAATATTTTTGTAACAAAGTATTAAAATAAAGATTTGGGTAAAATATAAAAGCCTCCCCTGAGTTTTCTTACAATCACAAAAACCTCCTCTATGTTTTTATTTTAATAAAAATCTCCCCTGTATTTTTTAAAAAAATATGCAACTACCTCCCTAGACAGGAAAGATGACCTAATGTATTTGTTTTTTTAAATACCTATTTTGCCCTTATGCATATATATTTAAATAATTTCCACAACACTATTCATTTTCTTCCGATAATTGAGAACCGAGCCATCGTTTCTCTCTCTCTCTCTCTCTCTCTCTCTTGTTTGCTACGTCCATCTCGACATGGTCTATCACTTTATCACCCACGTTCCCATACTACCAATGTGGGATATCTCACATCAGCATACCATACTACCAACTTGGGAGAAATGAATTGTAACATTCCACCACACTCTACAATCTCAGTGCCCATGCAAGCTAGCTTTGCACTAGTCCACCTAGTCCTAGCTGAACATTGCAATACCGACGTCACCACCCTCACCACATGATTGCAATTGGGAGGTATAGTGTAGGCTTTGATACCATTTTATATGTGCCTTAAGAGAACTCACCCCTAAAAGCTAGTTGTTAGAGAGAGGGAACCCAAGCACATAAATACCCCACAATAGCATCTCATACTACCATGTAGGATACCTCACATTAGCATCCCATACTACCAACATGGGACAAATGGATCGTAACACTTACATACTGGCCGTAAGCTATAAAGCACATGGGCTAGGATGTTAACGCGGATTAGGAAGATGATTTCCTTCAACATGTTTTCGAAATCCACTTTCTGATTCTTCTTCATTCTACTTCTCTTTCTATCATTTCTGGTTTTAGACATTCTTGCTCTCAATTCCTTCCTTGCTCAAACCTTTTTTCAAGTAGTCGTCATTCCAGTATTTTACTGTTTGTCTTTTGACTCCGACCTTTTGACTCTGAGTGTTCTTTCTTGCACTGGAAGCAAGAGGCCACCTTCCTTTTACGTGAGAGGAGGAGCCACACACTCTTACGCCATTAGATTGGAATATATATTTAACTCCAATGGGTAATGGCTTGCCTTGTAGTGATATTTTTTTCCGCCTTTTTCTTCTGCTTTGACCTATGAATGACAACGATTATGCTTCTCACTTTTTTCAATTGTTGGAGTAGAGACAGAGTAGGGTAGATGTGAGGTCAACTAGCCAATAGCCATCCTACAGAGAGCTCGTAGTTTGGCGATGAGGCCCCCACTAGCCAATCCATGGAAAGGCCACAATCTCGTGGGATGATTCCCTTGCTTTTGCCATTGTAGGTGGTGTGTCATAGATTGACCTTCTCAAATGGGTGAGAAGGTCGGCGACTATGGTTCTCAATTATCGGGAAGAAAATGAACAACATTTTGGAAGGTATTTTAAATAATCTACATCTAAATAGATAGGTATAAGGGCAAAATAGGCATTTTAAAAAAATAAATACATTTGGTTGGCTTTTTTTATGTACGAAGGGAGGTAGTTGCATATTTTCTAAAAAGTACAGAGGAGGCTTTTGTTAAAGTAAAAATACAAGGGATGTTTTTATTATTGTCAGAAAACTCAAGGGAGGTTTTTAAATTTTACCCTAAAGATTTAGGGCCTGTTTGTTTCCTCTTAACTCTTATCTCTTAAGAGGAATCTTTTAACTTTAAGAGAAAAATGGTTGTTTGTTTGTTTCGTCTTATCTCTTAAAGCAATCATACAAGTTTTTGTTTTCTAATGATACCCCAAAAAAGACAAACAAAAACTCTCATATATGGGGTCAAAATGGACATTTGATCATTTTTAGAATTCAGAATTCAGAGTTCACAGAATTCAAATGAAAGAAAAGTTCACCAATACCAATATACCTCTTAATGTAATTATTGCACTTTCAGATGCCAGACTATAGAGCAAACTAATAGGCCCTTAATTATTTTAAACAACACTACATTCTTTCCCTAGTCACAAGTTTTTGGTTATTTCACTTTCCTTGATAAATCCCGTGGATGACACGAGTCCTCGCTAGTGATAGTATCTGACTTTGAACAATGGGCCCACACAATGAGCAAAATAAGGTGGACAACGTCTTAGAACTTCAAGAGTCAAAACTCAAGACTCAAAGCATGCGGCATCTCCATTAATGAATTACCAGTTATCACAACTCCTCCACTTCCAAGTAACAAAGCGTGTATCTAAATGGGCCAAGCACAACTTGGTTCTTCTAGAGAATTTTATTTCATTTAAATTCGGCCCGACACAGCACGACACGATGGCATGCGGGCTGTGTCAGGCCTGGCACGATGGTTTAAGCCATGCTGGGCTTGGGGTTCCAATCCATAGGCTAGCACGACATGGCACGACGATGTGTGCTGTGCCACCCGTGGCCCACATGCAGGCATGGCCTAGCCCATGGCACGGGCTAGCACAGCACAGGCCGGCCTGTAGGCCCGTAGCTATATAGGTTTTTCTACAGAAATACCCCTCAAAAGTTATAAACAACTATATAAAGGAGGTATTTATGTATTTTGGTTTTGGGGGGAGGAATAACAAGACCAATGCCCGCCAACAACTATATAAACAGCTAGTTTGGGGAAGCATTTTGGATAAAGTGATAAATAACTTTACAATGACCAAAATACCCCTCCCAACAACTAAAAAATAGCTAGTTTTTAGGGTATTTTGGGCAATTAAATTATTTCCAATTCCTATAAATAGCCATATCCTCCACCATTCTCATCACACCAATTCAACAATTCCTATAAATAGCCCTATCCTCCACCATTTTCAATTCCTACAATGATCAAAGTTAAGAACAATAGGAGAAAATGATGAATTCAATATTTTTGTATACTCAATAATTGTATAGCATTTTTTAAATTATTGAAAATTTTGTTTTAATTTTATTTAATTTATTTGATATTTTTAATAACGTATTTTTTATTTTCAATTTGTAACTATAGTATATTTTTGATATTTTATTAGTTCATTCCATTTTTCAATTTTCATATTTCATTTGTCCAACCATACTATGCTTTGTATCATTCAAAATTAAATGAAATAAAATTCATATTTTTCATCCAATTTGCTATTCACTTTGAGTCTTTATCTGTTTGACTTCATATTTGGTTAAGTATTTTTTTCATTTCATTTCTTATTTTTTCAAATAATTCCCAAAAGAAAGTTAAATATTTTAGTTTTACCTAACAAAGAAATAAAAATAAAAATAAAAAAAAACAAAAAATCTAGTTTGGCCCAGTTAAACCCACACCCAAGGCCTACCTTGCGGCCCAGCTCGGCATGGCTCAGGCCCACAACACGACCTACAACCTCGCTCGGCCCAAGCCCGTAGCACGGCACAGCACAGGCCCACATGGGCTTGGGCCATGGTCCATGCCGAGCCAACCCTCCAAATTATCCCTGAAGAGGGCGACACGGCCCAGGATGGCCCATGAGCCGGCACAGCCCGCACTTAGCACGGCCTGTTTTATACTTCTAAATTCTCGTCTGCGCGGATGTATCCCCTTTGCAGTCTTTGCAACTGGAAAGGACTTATTGGTACTTTTGAAGAAGAAGGGAGAGATTTTCGGTAATATACTCTTCTCATGCATTCTCAAACCAGGACTTTGGGAGGGTTTTAGCAGCGATGCACATGCACTAAAATACCTACTTTCTTCGAGCTCTACTCAACCAATGGCGATTATTCACGAAGACGAACAGATATAAAAGTAGAGAGAGGACACAAAAGGTCGGGAAACCGAATTCTTGTCGGCTTTCTTCATTCAGTCATCATCTATGCTGAAGGTTTTATCAGCTTCATGCCGACAGGGCCGATTGCAGAATTTAACTCCAAGACTTCCCGGAAATTTCTCTTATGGGGGAGAACAAAGAGCTCCATTACTTAGAGTTTTGGGCTCTCTGACAAGTTCGAGTCCAAGAAATTCAGGTTTATCTAAAAGAGTATATTTCTGTTCAGAGTCTGGCGACGGGTCCAATCCCGTGGTTGAGCCTGAGGAAAAGACAGCTGAAGTCGAAGCCGCGGTGGAGAATGCGGAGGAAGTCGATTCGAAAGCTTCGTCAGCTATAGTCCCTACTAATCCCAGACCAGAGGATTACCTCACGGTAGGACTTTGTTTTTGTCATTTTAACTTTTTTGAATTGCAATTTTGTTTTACGAGTTGTCTCCTCTTTCCTGCAAGTATTGGGTTAGAATCTTTCATCTCAGGGTAAATCGCTCACCAAGTTTTAAGCTTTGGACAATTTAGAAAGGAATTTTGGTTTTTACTGTTTTTCCACTCGGATGTAGCATTGTCTTGGCTGGTCTTAATTGGTAATGGAGTGAATTTTTGGATATTGTTAAGTACAAAATAATCTATTTCCTGCAATTTTCTGGTACTGCTAACCGAATCTCTTGCTTCTATAAGGATGCATATGGATTAGATTGGAAGATATCTTGTAATGCTTTGATAAGTCACAATCCCTAATCTCAACGAGGAAATCTGCAATATAAGGCTTTTGTGTCTCCTTTGGCATTATATCTTACAACATCTAACATAGACAATTATATACAGAGAGATTAATGCACATTGATAGCAACTTTGACATATATTATACTGCACATTTTCACCTTTAATCTATGCACAACTGGTTGTTTCTTGTTTGTTTTTCCTATCTATATTTGCAAAAAATTTGAATGGTTTCTTGCAATTTAGAATCAATGGTCTGGTGAACAGGGTTTTGGGGTTTGTTATGCATTAATGTCGGGGAAAACTGGTATATTCATAAATCATAATTCAAATGCTTCCACCATATCCTTGATACATAATACTTAAAGAAATAAAAATCAATCCTATGTAAGGGTCAATATGAGATCACATCAGCAGTGGCCATTGTTGCAGGATATTATTTTGATCGCCCAATAAAACATGGACTTGATCCCCATTTGTTTTAAATTCAAACCTCCTGATGATCTACTTTTGGTTGAGTTGATAGCATGCTTGTGTTTCATTGGTGATGACTAAAATATCCTGCTACAGTGGTTATATATGATGTGTACTTGATCAAGAAGGTCATTTATCACAATCTTTTGGTAGTTTTTGAAGGATAACATTAGACATTATTTAACAGAAAATGATAACTCCATTTTTTGATGTATTTTGACCAATAACTTCCTGTTTTTTTTTATATATTTTTCTCCCACCTCCCTTCCCCATCCCAATTATTGTTTACTGCAGAGAAGTCTTATGCCTTTGTGGACCATGGACATAATTTGTTTGTTCCGCTTGACGTCTTTTCATTGCATCTTAATTAAGTGGAATTCCCCAAGATTAGCCAGTTTTTCTTTCTTTCTTTCTCAGAAATTAGAATCATTGGTTTTCTCCTTTAAACTTCTTATTCATTGATTTTTTCTTTTTGTTGTTATCCTTGCAGGTGTTAGCTTTGCCACTGCCACATAGACCTTTATTTCCAGGTTTCTACATGCCTATCTATGTGAAGGTATGACAACTTAATGGCTTATCCTTTGGAATGTGGGCTTGCTTTTTGAATTCCATTTTAGTCATCAAATTTCCCAAATATACTATGCACTATTTCTCATAATTTCTTTTTCAACCAATAATGGTTAATAGAAGAATGATGGAGAAAAAGTTTTGTTCCAAGCATCTCTTGTATTGGTCTAGCTCTTGCTAGCCACCCTGCTTACTTCTTTTTACATAGTCCTCTTGGGGAATCGATCCCTAGTACAGATGATTCCTGTGTTTACCTTGTTTTTTCTGACCAGTCTGCCAGACCATTAGAAAATTGTGGAGTCCAGTTTTTACATGTCCTCACTTCTCCAGCTAACTTCTCAGTCCCCTCTTTTATTATCTGTATTTCCATAAACCCATATTATTCTTTTCAACCAGCTGACAACTGTATGAGAGTCCCCTTCGATCACTTCATCTCTAAAATCATATGGACTTTGGAAGACAAAAGTAGTGTTGGAGATGAATTGGAGGATTTGGAAGAGTGATTAGTAAAGTTGGGTGAGCTTTATCAGTCTTGAAGGGGCTCTGGGTTGGTTTGTTTGGTTTTGGGTGTTGGTGTTTTAGTATGTTAGTTGGGTTGGTTTCTTTTCCAGTCTTTGGTTGTTTTCTCTTGGGTTATGTCTTATCTTCTTTCCTGTTGTATTCTCTTTTTTCTTTTAATGAAATTTTATTTTTCTATTCACAAAAAAAGTATAGCAGAGACTTGGCTAATCTTAGGTTCTCATCCCACGTAGAGCTGCCATATTTTCAGATCAGGTTGAACCATGTCCAATGTAGCCAGAATACAATGTCAATATTAGCTCTATCACCATTTGCGAAGAGTCATCCTATCCCTGAATTTCCAGGGTTATCCATCGAAATTCAGTTTGATGCTGTCGTACCCTGGAGATGTTGGATATTTTGATGAAGTGTTTTGTCTAATATGTAAGGCAGAATTAAACTAATTGAAATAATGTTGTCTAATCTGCCTATATATTTTATTTATCTCTCTTAACAATCCAAAGTCTGGAAGAAGAACTATATTTCAAAAGGATGTAGACTTATTCTAACCAAATCAACTCTTTCTAATCTCCCCATTTATTCCCTTTTGTTTTTAAAGTGCTTGCCAAGGTGAGAAACTACCTGGAAAAACTTCAACAGGATTTCTTGTTGGGAGGAGGTTGAGAAAGGAAGAAGAAGGATCATCTAGTTAACTGGGAGGTAATCTGCAAGCTAAAGAAGGATGATGGGTTGGGCTTAGACCACATTGAGGATAGGAACAATGTCTTTCTTGGAAAGTGGCACTGGAGAATGCTGAAGGAGTTGCCTTCTCTCTGGGCCTCTGTAATCTGCAGCAAGTATGGTGACTGTGCTAGTGGCAGGGGTAGCCCCCAATCTCTTCCGCGTTTCTCTTCCATCCACCCTTGGAAAGGTGTCGCCCAAACCCTGCCTTTGCTCTCAAACTGCATTCGGTTCAGCTTAGGGAATGGCAACGCAACCTCATCAAGTTCTGGATTGATCTTTGGTGGGGTCACCATCCCTGTTGTGAAACCTACCCTAGATTATTCAGGCTTGTCCTAAATAGACAAGCCCTAGTCTCCTCAGTTTTGTCCCACGAGAACAATGGCCTAACTCATAAGGCCATAACTTTAATTTTCAAAGAAGCCTTACCGAGCAGGAAGTTTTGGATGTCTCTAATCTTCTTTCGTCCTTGGAAAAAGTTTTCATCTCTCACCTCAAATGGAACTTTCACCTCTAAATCCTTTTTTCTTTATTTGGGAGACTGCTCTTTAGCGTATCAATACTAATGACAACTTTTAGTGGAGAAGAAAAGGACATCTTTACATATCTCTTCATGTCTTCTCTCTTTATCTCCAAGAGGGAGAATCCATCAGGCATCTCCTCATGAATTGCTAAGTGACAAGAGGCTTTTGGCAGTTTTTTCTAGACCTTTGTTGGGGTGGCAGCTTCGACTGGGTCCACCCAGCAATGTTTGTGATATTGTGCAGCAATGGAAAGGAAACAACTAGGAAAGAGAAGCAGAATGTATTGGAAAACCAGTATATTACAATTTGATGGTAGTTTGAAACCTAGGGCATTTAAAAGCGCAGGGTGCAAAAAAAAAAAAAAACGCAAGGGCCATTTTGTGCCTGAGGCACAAGGCGAGGTGTGTGCCTTTTTGAAGCAAGGCGCAAAAATGCAAAAAATTCTAAAAAAATTAATAAAAAGTCATAAAAATAAAAAAAAGAGAAAAAATAAAAAAATGCAAAATATTAAAAATATCAAACACATTATTAATTAAAAATATAAACTTAAATTTTAAAATAAATACTTTAAAAAACCTGTTATCTCAAATTAAAATACATAAACATAACATGTAAAACATATTTAAAATGAAAATTTAAAAATAAAATCAAGCATAACATACAAAACATATTCAAGCAGTAAACTCTAAATCTCTTTATTTTTTTTTTCCAAATTGCATTACTTCAAATACCTAATGTGATGTTAAACATTATGCATTCCTGATTCTACAAGCCATCATTGTACCAAGCCCCTCAAGGCAAGCCCAAAAAATGAAAAAATCCATATAAGGGTCTTAATTTTTTAATCCCTATAAAAAGGTTTTATAACTTTACGTGTCTTTTAAAACTATCTTTTATTAAGATGAATGAATGAGCAACATTAGCAAATATGGGGTTTTTGGTCCAGCTGCTAAACACAAAAAACAGAAAAAAAATGCACAGATTTTCAAAATGCACACACCTGGGCTGAAATGCAAGGCACACAAGGCACACCAGGCACATACCCTAAAATGCGCCTCGCCTATGCATCTAGGCACGCCTTTTAAATCACTGGCACAGGGATTGGGGGGTTATTCTAAATGTAAATGACAATCTGAGGTGTGCCTTTAGTGGACCAATAGCAGTAAGTGATGCTTTGGAAGCTGAAGTAAAAGCCCTCCTCATGGGTCTCAGAATAGCTAAAACCTTGCAAGTGGCTTCCCTGTCCCTGCTAGTTGAAGGTGATTCCAGAAATGTGATCGGCTGGGTGACCAACTGAGGAGAAGGCCCTTGGCAGCTAGGTTATCTCCTTCTTGAAATAAGAGGGATCATCTCACTTCTCCGTTGCTTCTTCAAGTTTATCCCTAGATAGCTTAACCAAAGAGCTGACTCTTTAGCTAAGTCAGGGTCAGAGGAATATCTTGTACAGTGCAGATAGTTTTCCAGAGTTGTGGATGGATTTTTTGTTTTTTGTTGTAAAGCCCTGTCCTCTTGTACATCTTCTCATGTACACCTCTCTTTTTGATTGAATGAAATAGTTAGTTAGTTACCCTTCTTCAAAAAAAAAAAAAAAAGAAAAAAATCTCCCAACAAAACTGAAGAGACAATGGTTCTTTTGGTGGTGCTGATCACCATTCACCACATGAGATTGACATGTCTTCCATTCAATGATCCTCCAATTGCTGCCCACATATCTTCAAGAAGTGCCAACTGATAGAAAGAGAGGTGCTACAATGCATAAGAATATACCTTATTGAATTCGGTGGGGGATGATTCACATAACACACATTGATTGTTCCGTACCTTAATTCCAACAAAGAGGTTGTCTAACTCAGGATCTTATTGAGGTAATTACTCCACATGAAATAACATACTTTTGTGGGGATGACAGGACCAAGTCCAACACCAGGGAAAGTTCCATTAGAACCTGCCACAATAGCCATTTCAACTTGGGCATACAGCTCTCTATGCCTCCCACCCCAATTTTAGAATGATAAGTATTTATTTACTTATAATTTCACATAGGTCCTTGTTTTTTCCTTATTTGTCAACCGAATTAGATTTTTTCCCTCTTTCCTCACCATAGAACTTGCTGTCTTTTGATTGTTGATTTCTTATAGTTTACTAAACATCCATAAGATAGTTGATCTGCGTTTTTTTGTTTCAGTTCTTACAGTTCTTTGTTTAGTTGATCTGCAATTTTCTGTTTCAGTTCTGATGGTTCTTTGTTTTTACATGTTATTTCATGATGTGGTTTATTTCTGTGGGTTGTACTTGTTGCCAATGGTGTGTGTGTGTGTGTTTGTATCAGTTGTTTTGTTGCCAAAAATTTACTTTGTAGAGATGTAACTCAGTTGCGTGTTCTCAGAGCAAAATTTCTGTTTCCCCTGTAGGATCCTAAACTATTAGCAGCTTTGGTGGAAAACCGTAAGCGACAGGCCCCATATGCGGGTGCTTTTTTGCTTAAAGATGAACCGGGGTCAGATCCTAGTCTTGCAGCTGGTTCAGAAACCGAGAAGAACATATATGACCTTAAAGGAAAAGAATTGTTCAACCGTCTTCATGAAGTTGGCACCTTAGCCCAGGTACACATGTTCTCCGTAGCTTTGAATGACCTCTTTCATTAACATGTTCAGATAACTAGTAGTGAGAAACTTTCTAAAGGGAACCTCCATGATACTGTTGTCCACTTGAATTTGATGAACCAGATAACTAGTATCCAAGGAGATCAGGTTGTGCTTATTGGCCATAGGCGACTTCGGATAACTGAGATAGTAAGTTTATCTTGAAGCATGTAAACCTGTTTAATTTTGCTTTGTCTCTACTCAAGTTGCATTTTACATGAGAAGCATAATTTTTTCTGTTTGCCAAATATCTCTGATAATTGTAAAAGTATTGCAATGTCTTTGATGATTTTTATGAAGTTATGGAAGGTTTTGCGTTTTTCAATAATTTGGTATCTTAAATTTATTTCAGAGTGCCTGGGTTAAACTTTAATGGGAAATTTAGGCCTGTATTTGGGGTGACTTGGTGCTTTTTTAAGGGTCTGATTTTTGGGTATGGACAGAGGGAGGGAGATGTTTTCCTTGCATTTTTATGTTTTTCCTGGGGGCAGTTGAATCTTGTCTGGGGGAAAGTAATAGAGTTGGTATCCTGCATGGTTTAGCGTTTTGCAATAATTATTTTTTGAAGAAAATAACAAGGTGTTATAATATTAGGATAACGAAAAGGAATTTACAAAACAGGGGAGTGCCCAGCCGAAAAATCAGGGCACAACAGAACTGCTATACAAGTTAAGCCTTATTCACACTAATTTTCCAAAGAATCTGCCATTAACATTCTGCTCCCTGGGAATCCAAGAGGAGACAGACAAGGAAGCTGCCAGATCAAAGGCCTTGGCTAAAAAATGATCAAGCCTCCATGGACCACCCTGTTTAGCATTGAGCCAACTGATAGTGTTGAGTGAATCACCTTCAACCAGCGGATTATGCAAACCCAATTGATTTGCAATGTGGAGTCCAGTAAGAGCTGCTAAGATCTTTGCCTTAGTTGCATTGACCGTCCCAATAGGCCCACTATATGCCCAAAGGATCTCATCTCTATTTGAAACTAAAATACCACCAATCTAGGCTGGACCTGGCTTGTCGATGGAGCTGCCATCAAACCTAAGAGACATCTCAGAAATCATGCCAATTAGAGGCTCAAGGGGATGTTCCACTCTAGGGGACGAACTGAGCAGGAAAGAAGTGCATCTATGAATGTCTTCTTGTAAGAAGCCGTCAAACTCTTTACAAGCAGAAGCCCAGAAATTACATCTATTGAAGATACTTGACTCAAGATCCAGGACTGAGTCCTCCCATGAGTCCCAAATAACAGCATGTGGAATAAATTCCCAGTATACCTTCCCTCTTCTACCTAAACCACCACACTTCCATTGCAAAAGGAAATCAGACTCGCTCCAGAGTGGTCCATGAGAGACCAACAAGAGAAAGACAAAGTTGCCAGATCCTTGTGCTCAAGCTGCAATGGAGTAAATGATCTGTGGATTCCCCAGCTTGTAGACAAAGCACACAAACATGAGGCAAGAGATACGGCCTGCCCCTTCTTTTTCTTTGTTGAAGATCACAGGTGTTTATTTTGCCCAAACCAGCCTCCCATAAGAAAAAAACAAATTTTATGAGGGACTCTGTGATTCCAAATCTTCCTAGCTGGGAAATGCTGGCTTTGGAGCTCCTGAATGTGTGACCTGCAGAAAGAGGAAACCGAGAAAAAGCCTGAAGGGTGCTCCATCCAAGTTCTCCGATCAGGTTTGTTAGAAGAGATGTAACAGCCAAAAGGGAAGACAAAAGGTTGGAGAGTTCTTGGTTTTCTGAATCCCTGAGAGGTCTACCCCAAGAAAAAGTCCAAGCATTTTGCAGTAATTTTGGTATCTTAAGTTTAGAGCAGGGTGCCTGGGTTAAATTTTAATGGGAATTTTAGGCCTGTATTTGGGGTGACAGTGTTTTTTTTAAGGGTCTGAGTTTTGGGTAGGAGCAGAGGGAGGAACATGTTTTCCTTGTATTTTTATGTTTGTCCTGGGTGCAGTTGAATCTGGTCTGGTAGAAGGTAATAAAGTTGTGTGTTATTTGGTCCTTGTTTACTTTGGTGATGTCTCCTCATCAGGGGTATCTTCTTTTTTTTAGTAAGATTTATTTTATTATAATAATTTTGGCATCTTGTAAGCCAGAATTGATGGTTTCATTTACTGCAAATGTTTTAATGGTTTTTTTTTATAAAAAAAAGGTTTTTTAAATAAATTTGATACTTATGATTAAGTATTATATATTTAAATGTCCCTTTATGATAAGTTCCCAAAAGAAAAAGCTTATGACTTTCTTTTCTGCAGGTTAGTGAGGATCCCCTGACAGTTAAAGTTGATCATCTCAAGGCATGCTATCTCTGTCTTAACCTTTTCTTTCAATTGGCATAGTAACTTTGATATTTTATTTTTTAGTAATACAATGAAGAAACTTAGCTATTTGATGTGGATTCTCATATTGATTGTTTGAAAGATATTCAACTTGCATATCTACTTTTCTCATTGGGTTTTTATGTGCTTTGCAGGAGAAACCTTATAATAAGGATGATGATGTTATCAAGGCCACATCTTTTGAAGTTATAGCAACCCTAAGGGATGTTCTTAAGACGAGTTCCTTATGGAGGGATCATGTCCAGACATATACCCAGGTTTGTTCTTTTTTACATACACATTTGGAATGTTCTATTCTTTAGAATTTAGGAGTGTAGGACCTATTATCATCACCACCGGAGAACAGGTCCCAGATAAACAAAAACAATGGTACCATCCCTGTTGCAACACCATCGATTGATATGAAGCAGGGTTTAGAAGTGGCGTCGTGGTTAGAAACACCATCAATTACAACGAGAGATGTGTCAGTGATGGAGGCAAGGTCAAAGAAAGGTCTAGTAGGTTGATTTGTCCATTTGGATCCTGACATTAGAGATCTGGAGAAATGGGCAAACCAAGAATGGAGAAACCTAAGTTTCTTCTGTGTTTGAAGGTTGGGAGCATCCTTATTTTTGTTCAGTTTTAGGTGGAAAAGAGACATGGTAGAAGCCCTAGCAAGGGAAGGCATAGGAAAAAAGAGGAACCTCGAAATCATTTTCAGTCGCTGGTCACCCAGTTTTCGAGTGGAAGTAGAGAAAACGAGGTATGTCTGGATCGATGTCTATGGGATTCCGCTGCATGCCTGGTATACAGAGGTTTTCAGGGCCATAGGAAATGCTGTGGGAAGTTTTAAAAGATTTGATTTCAAAAACAGAAGATGGGAAAACGTACAGGCTGTAAGAATTGTAGTCAAGACTGAAGATGTTAGATCAATCCCAACTCTCCTGGATCTCTTTTTTTTTCTTGAGGAAGTTTTCAAGCTCCGGATTGTTGTTGCTTGCAGAGATCCATTGTTTCGATGGAAGGATTAAAAGGCAGTGAGGGAGGCCATCAAAGCAGGCATTCTACATAAATCATCTGCATCTTGTGCCTCAATGTGGGAAACTTCCTATGTGTATCGGTTATGTTTTCTGATATTTAATAAAATCACTCATTACTCATAACAAAAAATAGGATATTTTAGTATGGTCTCCGAAGAGATTGATGTCACTTCAAGGTCAGATTTTGATAGAAAAAAGTCAAGTCCATTTGAAGGAGATAGATTTGGTTGTAGAGGAGAGGGAAAGATGGTGCCAGATCAGTTTTTTGAGAGAAACATGGTGTCAGAACTAGAAAGAATTATTGATGACCAAAGGACACTGAGGGACTTGAAGAAGAAGCCTAACACTGTTGGAAGATTTAACAGCCAGAAAACTCCTCAAATGGTCTAGGTCTCAAAACTGTTTGGAGTTGGGCCTACTAAGAAGGTGAAGAAGTCAAAGAAAATTTGCAAGAGAATATCGATCATAAAAAAGAAAATTTGCAAGAGAACAAAGAGGTTTCTAAATAAGGTCATGGAGAGTTGGGTCAATTATGTTCTGTTTTTGTTTAGTGGGGTTGGATGTTTTTTTGGTGTTTGTTTCATTTGTCTACTTGGAAAGCATTGTTGTGAAACAAAGCTTTGGGGGTTTATAAATTATAAGCAGTAGGGAGTTTACTAAAAGAGGAGGAAGAGAAGGATACACAGAGAAAACCCCTTGCACCACAAAAACCTCAATCACCAAATAGAAGAAGTGTAACCCATCACAACTTCCAGGTTGTGATACTTCTCATTAGATGAACATAATTGATATAAGATGGGTTTTGATAGTTGTCGTCCATGTTATCTTAGTCCTGTTTCTATGCAATGGTAATTACTGAGTCACTTCTCTTTTCCTGCATTTAGTATGTGACATTGCTGTTTGAATGTCTTGGAGATGCTTGGAAGATTGTTTTAGCTAAAAAAAGTGCTAACTTTAAGAATGGAGTACCAAGTCTATTATATTTTCCACAATTATGGATTACTTGACAGTCAACTGCATTATATAATCCCTCCTTGGTTTCTTATCACCTTTTCTTTTGATAATTGCAGCATATAGGTGACTTCAATTTTCCAAGGCTAGCGGATTTTGGAGCTGCTATTTCAGGAGCAAACAAATTGCAATGCCAGAAAGTGCTTGAAGAACTAGATGTAAGAAGCTTTGTTTATGAGAAAATATATTAGTACATCCAAGGCCTTGCATAAAAATGTGTATCATTGTCGTGTCCACTGAAGCTCTGAATTAGCGATTTTTTTTTTTTAAATTTCCCATGCATCTTTTTTTTTTTTCATTTGAAATGTTGTGGTTTGAATATTCGATTCAGAATTCTATTGTTGTAATAGTTTATTTCATCTCTCTATCTCTCTTGCAATGCTTTTCCCATTTTCAGGTGTATAAGCGTTTAAATCTGACTCTGGAATTAGTGAAGAAAGAGATGGAGATTAGCAAGATACAGGTACTTGCTATCTGGTTTTATCAGTTCATGTACTTGCATATTTTGTTTCCTCTTTCATTTTGTGACGCATCTTTCAAGTTTTATCTTTTTATGGTTCTATGCTAGGAATCAATAGCAAAAGCAATTGAAGAGAAAATAAGTGGTGAGCAGCGCCGCTATTTATTGAATGAACAGCTTAAAGCAATAAAGAAGGTCTGTATTTCATTATACTTGAAGGAATTTGACTGCTATTTATTTAAGTTTCATGCCCATTATATTTCTGGTTGTTTCTCTTCATGAAAACAGTTATGATCAAAATACTTGCTGGATTGAAATTTGTAATTGGATTTTAAAATGTTTTGCTTTGATATGTCTTTCTTTCTCACTATCATGGACTTTCATGAATCTAACTTCATTTGTCTTACTCCAGGAGCTTGGTTTGGAGACTGATGACAAAACTGCACTTTCTGGTTAGCTCTCTCTCTCTCTCTCTCTCTCTCTCTCTCCCCTCCCCTCCCCCCCACTGCATGTGTGTTGCAAATTGAATCAGAAAACAACTCCCAAGTCCAAGAAGCATCTTAGAAAGAAGAAGATAGTTACAATGATAATCACTTTCAGATTTTATGGCCGATTTGGTCTCATGTATTTCATCATCCAACCATTGGATTGGCCTCGATTTTAGGTATGTGGTAATTCTATGAGTTTCCTACATGTTTTAATTATTTTGTTTTGAAAAAAAGGCAACTTTCATTCAAGAACAAAAGGAGAAGTTTCTATTAGAAGTTATGCAAAACTGTGGGTTTGGGGACAAGTGGTGTAATTGGATCTTTGGGTGTATCAGTACTTGCCACTACTCTATTCTGGTAAATGGTATGGTGAGGGACTTTTTTCCAGCTTGCAGGGGTATCAGGCAAGGGGATCCACTCTCACCCTTCCTTTTTACCTTAGTAGCTGATGTRATTAGTAGGATCATTACTAAGGCTGRYARYGAAGATGCCATTAGGGGTTGGAGAATAGGGAGACACCAAGTTCCCGTCACCCACCTTCAGTTTGCGGATGACCTAATGATCTTTTGTGAAGGAGGTCTTAGCGAAAAGGTAGCAAACCTAAAGGAGCTAACAAAAGGTTTTGAAAGTATCTTTAATTTGAGAATAAATCTGGAAAAGAGCTGCATAACGGGTATAAATTTGGAGGTAGGGGAGGTCGAGGCTATTGCGGAGTGTTTTGAGTGTTCCACTTCTGCTTGGCCTATGTCATATTTAGGGCTTTCTTTAGGGGAAAATCCTAGGGAGAGTAGATTTTGGACCCCAGTGATAGAAAAGTTTGAGAAGAGATTAGCCTCATGGAAGAGGAATTATATCTCTTTAGGAGGGAGAATTACCCTAATAAGAGCTACCTTGGCTAACTTACCAACCTATTATTTGTCTGTTTTTAGGATACCAGTTAGGGAAGCTAGGAAACTGGAGAAGTTGATGAGAGATTTCTTATGGGAGCCGGGACAAGAAAAAAAGGATCACTTGGTTAATTGGGAAATTGTGTGCAGAGAAGTAAAGAAGAGGGGGGTTTGGGACTTGGGAGGGTAACTAGAAAAAATCAAACTCTGTTAGGGAAATGGTTGTGGCGATGGCTTTTGGAAAGAAGGAGATTGTGGCATGAGGTGGTGGGAAGCATTCATGGGAGGTCAGCTAACCTAGCAACACCTTGGAAGGCTATTCACAACACTCTTTCTCAATTCCTCAATTTTATCAGGTATGAATTTTGTTCTGGCAACTCTGTCCATTTTTGGGAGGATATTTGGGTAGGAGACACCGTTAAAGGATTTGTTCCCTTCGCTATTTTCTATTTCTTTGTACAAAAAAGAGGTGGTCTCAAAATTTGTCTCACCTTTGGGAACACCCTTAGATCCTACTTGGGATTTTGGGTTTCGTAGAGGTCTTAGGGATGATGAAATTGTTTCTCTTTCTGCTTTGCTTGGTTGTCTTAATCAGGTTTGTTTGGATCCCTTCAAGCCAGATAAGAGGGTCTGGACTCCTAGACCCAATGGAACCTTCACTTGTGCTTCTTTCTTCAAGTCCATCTCTCAACTTTCTACTCACCAACCATTTCCGTCAAAAGAAATTTGGTGTAGGCCAGTTCCCACAAAAATTTTGGCATTTTGTTGGGAAGTATTCCATGGGGTAGTAAACACTTTAGATAACCTACAAAAGAGAAGACCTTTCCTCTGTATTTCTCCTAATTGGTGTATCCTCTGTAGAGCTCACGGTGAGGATTGTTACCATCTATTAATATCTTGTCCCTTTTTTGCAGACCTTTGGGCTTGGCTACTTTCGTTGTTTGGGGGTAGTTGGAGTCTACCAGCAGAAGTTCACATGCTCTTCAACCATTCTACCTTTTATTGGCCTACAAAAATAGGGAGAATTATGTGGAGATGTGCTCGTGCTGCTTTGATTTGGACTCTTTGAGAAGAAAGAAATCTTAGAATCTTTCATGAAAAGGAAAGAAGCAGTCAGAATTTGAAAGACTGTGTGTTGAATAGGGCAATACATTGGCTGAAGACCTTGGAAATCTTTCATCAATTCTCCTTTAATGACCTTGGGATTTGGGAACTTCATCAGGGCAGAACTTTTAGCTGTTGTACAAGGGGTGCAATTTGCAAACCAGCTGGGGGTACAACAACTAATAATCGAGGGGGACTCCAAAGTGGTGGTGGGTTGGTTGAAAAATTCTGAAGAGGCYATGTGGYGATACAAGAATGAAATGAAGAAATTCAGTTGGTTGACAAGGAATATGTTGGTCACTGTATAGTGGGTGGGGAGATCCACAAATACTTTGTCAGATATGTTAGCTAAGCAAAGGGTAAATAGGGAAGAATTATTTTGGGCTCAGTTGTGATTCTTGTTTTTCTTTCCTAGTTTACTTGTAAGATTCAAGGAGGCGCTGCAGCTTGCGCCTCTTGCTGGGATGATGTATGAACTCACTCTAAATTTGCTTATGAATCAATAAATTTATTATTAATCAAGAAAACAAAAGGAGATGGGGGGTGTACATGAATGATGTGCACAAGAAACAAAAAAGTCCAAAAAACCCCAAAATCAGGTTTTACATAGGCAAGGTATTGGCACTATACAAAGGATCGTTGGCCCCTCCCAAATTTCTCTAGAGAATCAGCCGCAGAGTTAAACTCCCTTGGAATCCATGTAAAGAAACAGGGAAAAACAACATCTAATTCCGGAATTCCCTGATCTCTTTTGAAAAATGAACAAATCTCCATGGATCCACATCATGACTGGAAGTGGTGTCTAGAATAGCCTAAAGATACTAAAAAGGATCATAGGGTAAAATGGGAAGTGGTGTCTAGAAAGAAAGACAAAGGGGGCTTAGGGATTGGAAGTATTAGAATAAGAAACACAACTTTGTTAGGCAAATGGTTATGGAGGTTTGTTTCCTAAGGAGCAAGAGAGTTCATGGCATAAGGTGATAAGAAGTATTCATGGAATGGCAGAAAATGGATGGGACACTGGACTCGACCCAAGGGCTTCGCGCTTTTTCCCATGGAAAGATATTGTTGGTATCTTGCCTGTCTTTTCTCCTTTCGTCAGGTATGATGCTTGCGTGGGTAATAAGATTCTTTTTTGGGAGGACTTGTGGATTGGGGAATCTCCCCTTAAGGATAGATTCCCAGACCTATATTCCCCTTCCCGAACCTATATCCCCTTAAGTATGGAGTGCTCTGGTACCCCCAAAAGTAAGGGCTTTTTGTTGGGAAGTGGTTCTCCAAAAAATCAATACCTTGGAAGTGCTTCAAAGAAAGAGATCAAATCGGTGCTTGTCACCTCATGTCTGTAGCCTTTGCTTGAGGAATGGTGAGACGGTGAATCACCTATTAATTTATTGTCCTTTTAGTGCTCTAATTTGGGATTGGTTCTCCTCTCTCTTTGATTGTAGGTGGACTCCTCCCACAAGCATAGCGGATTTATTTGACCCTATCTTTTTCTGACAACCAAAGAAGAAAGGAAGGGTGATGTGGAGAACAACAAGGGCAGTTATCTTGCAGGCAGTGTGGGAAGAGAGAAATAATATGATTTTCCAAGGGAAAGAAAAATCAGCTCCTGAAGTTATTGAAGGGATCACCATCAAGGCAGTACATTGGCTGAAAACTCTTGACTTGTTCAAGGATGTCTCTATAGATGATTTGACTAGAGGCTGGAGTATTTTAGCATGGTCTTCTACTTCATCACCTACCATACAAGCAGTTTGGTCCCCTCCTTTGCAGTGTAATGTTAAACTGAACTTTGATGGCAGCTCTCTTAAGAAACCCTGGACCTTTTGGAATAGGGGGTGTGTTTAGAGATGCGGAAGGAAAAATCCTAGCTATGTGTTCTGGTCCAATAGGTTTGGGGGACTCGCTTAGAGCTGAAGTACTGGCTCTCCTCCAGGGGCTCAGATGGGCCAAGCAATTGGGTTTTCAACAGTTAGAAGTGGAGGGGTATTCAAAATTTGTAGTAGGTTGGCTGCAATCAAATAGTTTGGGAACATGGTCCCTTAGACAACATGTAAGGGAATTATTGAGCCTCACAAGGGAGCTGGGTGCACAAGTGTATTGGTCTAGGAGGTCAGCAAATGTTTTAGCTGACAACCTAGCAAAACAAGGGGTGAACCGGGAGGTTTTGTTTTGTGCAGTGTTTTAAGTTATTACTTTAGAAGGTGACAGTTGTTCTTCTGGTTTTATCTAATGAAAATTATAGTTTCCTATTAAAAAAAAAAAGCTCTAGTAGTTCTTAACCCCAGAAGGAAAGCTACTTCAGCTTCTGAAGCATCTCCCTCACCAATTAGCCACTGAAAGCCCACAAAAGCCAACCACTAGCATCTGAAATGTGACCCCCAATACCTCCTATCAAATTTCAGACAAAAGTCATGGATAGGCCTGAGGGCAATGCTGAAGTGGATCTGTGGACAATCTCCAGAAGTGAGATGCAAGATTTTCCCTTTAATACCCTCCGAGGAAGAGAGGACTGACTGTTGAAGATCCTTTTATTACCTTCTTCCCAAATGCACCATAAAACAGCGTGGGTGACTGAGAGCTATTGATCAGCTTAAGCTATTGATCAACCAAGAATATAAATGAGATCGCCTCTAAACTGAAAGCTATTGATCAACCTAGAAGAAGTTAGATGCAAGATTTTCCTTTAATACCCTCTAAGGAAGAGGGCCGACTGTGAAGATCGTTTTATTACATTCTTCCCAAATGCACCACAAAACAGCGTGGGTGACTGCTCTCCAGAAGAATTTACCCCTTTGACACAGCTTTCACTTAGCACATTGGAAGATAAAATAAAAAAATTTGTTAGGAGGGGCCCAATAGAAGCTACTGCCCTGAGTGATCTCAAGGGTAAACTGCCAAAGACTTTGGGCAACACTGCAATTGATAAGGAGGTGGGCAATTGATTCCCTGTCCTTCAGGTACATAACACAAACATGAAGAGAGAAGTTAAAAATGGCTCTTCTTTTTCTGTAAATTATGTCACGAGTATTTATCCTTTCACAAGAGGCTTCCCAAGGTTATAATCTGGCAATCCTTTCACATAAGTAGAGAAGTAAAGAATTATGTCTCAAGCATAATCTGGCAATCACATTATAAGCTGGTTTCTACCGATTGGTTATAATATATTTTTTTTTCTGGTCAAAAGTCAAATTTTAACCCTTGAACAGGGGTTCATCAAGGCCTGCCCCTTAAGCTTGTGGAATGTCTTGTCTGTATTTAAATTGAGTTTTGTTGGATCAAGTAAGGTCCAAGAGATTTCTCTCTTGAAGTCAGTACTAGTTAGGAATTTTATAAAAATACAGATTTATGAAGTTATTTTTGGTATCTGAACATTGAGTCCATGGGGTTTTAAGTTTCTTATACCCTGTGAATAGTGATGAAACTAGTGATTTTTGAATAGAATCTTATCTTTTCCTCTAAGATAAACTTCCGCTTTACTCTTTTGAGGTTCAGATCATCCAACCCTAATAAGCCCACTATCTATTTTTGTACTTAGTTTTTACTGCTTGGTCATTTATAGCTGCTTTGTTCTTATATTTGGATATATGTTTGTGGTTTTCTTTATGTTAGTGTGTTCTTCTATTGCTGTGTTGGTTGGAATCCATTCTTACCTTTCCTGGGTAACTCCATATTATTGGCATGTGATTGGAATAAATTCCTTAACCTTTTCTTTTGTTGCTGCAGCAAAGTTTAGGGAAAGGCTTGAACCCAATAAGGAGAGATGTCCACCACATGTTCTGCAAGTTATAGAAGAGGAGCTAACAAAGCTCCAGCTTCTAGAGGCCAGTTCGAGTGAGTTCAATGTTACCCGTAACTATCTAGATTGGCTCACTGCATTGCCTTGGGGAAACTATAGGTATTGTTGTAATACTCTTTTATATGTTTATAAATTTATGTAGGAGTAATGTTTCTATTGATACTGAAAGCTTATTTGTAGGGGTGATCATGAAAAACTGAAAAACCAAACCGAACAGGCAAGACTGAACCGAAAATTCCGGTTAACCGAACCAACCAGTATGCACATATTTATATTATATATATTTTTCATATATATGCATTATATATTATAAATATATTTATAATATATAATATATAATATGTAATATATTATTTATTATTTATAATATAATAAAACATTTTATATTTATTATATCTAATATTATGAAAATAAAAAAACCAACAAACCGAACTGGCGGTTAACTGATTGGCTTCGGTTTGGTTTTGGTTATTGGTTTTCCAAAAACTGGTACTACCGGTTTGGTTTGGAAAAAAGGCCCATGGTTCAGTTAACCGAACCATGAGCACCCCTGCTTATTTGTAAGATGTATGTACATTCCCATTGTATGGTACCCTGGTGTACATGGGTGCTGATATAGTTACTGATATTAATGAGTATACATCAATACAATACTCAACCTTTTTATAAAAAACAAGTATTAATTTATCATGCCTAATGTGACAGATTTCCCATATAAGGAAGTTTGGCTGCCTCATATCCCTTCAAAAGTGCTTTATGAAGGGGAGAGAGAGAACACAGATTGCTTATTCCTCACTTGTCCAATAGCTAGTGGAGTGTATAAGCACTTGTACAACCTTATAAATCTCAGCTGGTGCCTGCCAAAAACTTTGGAGGAGCATTTGAAATCCTAGAAGTTTTGATGCTTAAATAGGAGGGGAAGAAAATTATGGGGTGTGATCCTGGCTTCTGTAACTTGGTGCTTATGGAAGGAGAGAAATCTCAGAATTTTTGAAGATAAAAGCTCCTTGTTTGAAGCATTAACTAAAAGGGTTTTGGACACTAATTTCTTGGTTATCAATTCAGGAGATATTCAGAGATCTCCTTTAATGTCACATGATGAGAAAAAAGAACCTATTAAATAGGTCGACTTTGTAGCCTCATCCAATCAGATTAGCGAAAAAGAGTCTGACTTTTTTGCAATTCCATAGACAGGACATAGGGCAATGATCCCATTGAATGAGTAGTCATTTAGGTTAACTCTTTCAAGGTGTATTTGCAGGATGGATTGCCCAAGGAGGTCAGGCATTAATGGAGACTGACTTTCTAATTCTTCCTTGAGAGAGGCCTTACCTATGTCCAGCAGGAAGGCTGTATATGTCGTGAAGTTATCTGATCATTGTTATATTGGGGAACAGGGTTCATCCCCCATGAAGGATGAATATAATTAGAGAGTATGAAATTGGGGTTAGGTGGGTGGGGCTAGCCTATGAAATTGGGGTGCATGTCATATTTGTTATTGTAATTCATTTTTTACATATCAATGAAATGTAGAAAGCTTGGAAAACATAAAATCACACAAAAGAAAAAGGAAGAAAAAAGTGAGAAGCTAAATTTAAGACACATAACAAACTTTACCATAAGCTAGGCACTACAGAGGGAGAGAATGAAATTTATAAACTTGGAAAGATGGAAAAAAAGGAAAAAAAGTAGAGATTCTGATGTTAGATGCATCAAAGAGGATAGTGTAGAAATGTAAAATTTTCAGTGAAATCATTTTATATGGCTTTCATCAAGGATAGTGTAATCCAATGATCAAATAAGTGGAATTTGGGGAAATCCAGTACCCCTGAGAGTTGAAGCTTTTGCTTGGCTGGCTGCAACGGAGAGTGTTCTTACAACAGATTATTTGAAAAGTAGAGGAATCTATCTGGCTAGCTATTGTTATATGTGCAAGTCAGACGAGGAAACTGTTTTTCATCTGTACTTCTCCTGCCAGTTAGCAAATTTCATCTGGAGATTCTACTCCTTCCTCTTTGGGATTCCCATCTTCCAGCCATCAACATCAGCAAAGATTTTCTCTACCTGGTCTGGAGCTGCATTTCCTTTGCAGTTTGCTGGTCTCTGTGGTGGGAAAGGAATAGGAGGCTCTTCGAAGGAAAGGAAAGAAGTATTGAAGTGATTGTGGCCTCGGTTGGCAATCTTATCACAAGCTGGGTCATCTCTCCAAGAATTTGAGCAAATCAGTCCTTCAGACTTTGCTGAGAATTTTTGGGACATCCTTGAGATTCAAACTTGTAATGTGAATCATTTCAGTCTGGACTGAAGTTTTGGTGTATGTTTTTTGCTTTGATGTGGGGTGTTATCTTGACACCTAAACAGTTTGTACCTGTTTTTTCTTTTAATAAAATTTTTCTTCTTTACTCTTCAAAAAACAATTTAAAGGAAAGATGGAGGATCTATTTTAAAAAAGTACTAAATGAAGAGCATATAGAGGGCACATGTTGGGCAGGGATCAGTAGTTCTGATATAGCTAGAAATAATATGTACTTCTATAAAATTAGAGCCTTCAAAGTGATGGAGCTTTTAAATGAGGTTAAGAAGGGAAAGGCATTAGGACACAACTTAGAGCTAGAACTTTTGGAGCCCTGTGGTAGATAGGTTCTCTAAGAAATGAGCCACTTGGAGAAAGAATTATGTATCCTTGGGAGGTGGAATTCTCTTAATCAGATCTATGCCAGCCAGTTTATCCATTTATTACCTCCTGGTGTTCAGAATCCTAGTGTTGGTGGTGAATAGACTTACGGAGATTATTAACGACTTCTTGTTGGAATTAGGGGGGAACAGAAAGGATCACCATTGGGCTATGGTTACCAACAGCAAAAAAGATGGCAGTTTGGTTATGAAGAGATTGATAAATAGGAATTCAGCACTTTTTTGGTAAGGGATTCAGCATTGCTAGGGAAATGGTTGTGGAGATTTTCCTTGGATACTAATAATATTTAGCACATGTCATACTGAACATTTATGGCACGGATGCTAATGGGTGGAATTCGAGCTGGTTGCCTGAGTGTCTTTGGCATCTCTTTGGGTTTTGTCCATTTTGGTGCTTGTTTGGGTAATAGGATTAAATTCTAGGAATAGCTCTGGTGGGGGATAGACCTTTAAAGGTTTTATTTTCAATCATTTGATCTATCTCTTCCTATAAGTCTGAACCCATCTTTCATGTTGTGTCCACTTCAAATTCCGGATTTTCTTGCAGCTTGGGTTTAAGGGACTTTGAATCTTCAGAGGCCTTAGTTTTAATCAATTTCCTTGAGGTTGTTTTTCTTGACTCTTCCACTTCCAACTCTACGTTTGGACCCTTGATTCCTTTGGAGTTTTCTTTGTGCACCCTTTTCTTGAGCTATCCTCAGTTCTCTTCAGTTGTGGGGTTGGCTAGTTGAATGCATTTGGACACAGAAATTTAGGACGTTCTGTTGGGAATTGTTCCACCTAGAAATTAACATGTGTGAGACTCTTCAAAAGAAAACTCAACTCTTTCCTATTCACACATTTGTGCATGTTTGTAGTCTTGTAGATGCAAGAAGGTTGGTGGAACAATATTGAATTATATTTCCTCTTCACCTTAACTGCAGATGTCCTAAGTAGGTTAATCTCCAGAGCAGACTGGGAGTGGCTAGTTAGAGGCTGGAGAAAAGGGAGAAACAGTGTGGTGGTTGCTCATCTCCAGTTTGCAGGTGATGCAATAATCTTTTGTGATGGAAATGATTTGAGCAAGTGAGGAGATTGAAATTGTTATTGAGTCCTTTTGAGAAAATTTCTTGTCTGAGAATAAACCTGGAGATAAGTTGGAGTGAATTTGGAGGACAATGAAGTAGAAGCAATTGTTGAAGTCCTAGGTTGTCAAATGAGTGTTTGGCCCTTGAAGTACCTAGGTATGCCTTTCGGGGGTAATCCAAGGAGTAGTAGGTTTTGGACACTAGTGGTAGAAAGGTTTGAAAAAAGATAAGCAGCTTGGAAGTGTAACTACATTTCTCTAGGTGGGAGAATGACTTTGATCAAATCTATCTTGGCAAATCTTCTAGTACCTTGGAGTTTTTAGAAATCTGGGAACAGCAGAATAGGGGAAGCTTTTAGAAATTACTCAGGTATGGTGGTGGCCATTTATTCAGGATCAATTGTTTCAGTAACTAGGTTAGGGATGAAATTTTGGCATTGCTACAAGGACTATCTAAGGCTAGCAAAACAGCTTGGTCTCAAAGATTTGGAAGTGGAAGGGGACTCACAACTGGTCATATCTTGGACAAGACAATCAATTTCAGCACATTGGAGTTACTGGCACTTATTCAGGGAGATAGATAACCTATCAAGAGAACTCAACACCAAATTTAGTTGGAGTAGAAAAACTCCAAATGGGGTAGCAAAGTGTGTGTGTGTGGGGGGGGGGGGTTAACAAATATACTTTGTTTTGGGCAAAAGTGTAAAGCTGTATATCTGGGTTGGTTGTAGTGTTCTGACGTTGTACCAAACTTAATTCATATCTTAATCTAATGAATCTTTTGTTTTTTTTTCTGATAAAAAAAATCTTCTAACTTGGATTCCTTGGAGACTAAACCATTTCTTGGGCTCTTGGCAGAGGCTAGGGACACCCTGAATTGCCTAAATGCAAGACTAACTTGGATTCCTAGGGAACTAAATCACATAGCAGATGGTTTAGCCAAATGGGGTGTATTTCTGGAAGAACTGTATCTGTATGGTGATAGAACTCCTCTGTAAGCTTTGGGGTTCTACCGCTGCTATGTACATCTTCTCATGTACTTTTCTTGCTTTAATGAAATCTGGTTAACCTTTCCTAAAAAAATTAAAAAACTCTTCTAGTGGGATCTTGGAGAAACTAATGAGGGATTTTCTTTGGGATCTTGGAGAATCGAAGAAGGATCACCTGGTCAAGTGGGAAACGATAAGTACAAGTAAGAAACAAGGTGGGCTAGGCCTAGGGGTTGGTAATGCGACTTGTAAAAATCAAGCTTTGTTAGGGAAATGGTTTTGGCACCAACTTTTTTTTTATGAATAATAATAAGTTTATTAATTCAGAAGTTGATTTGGAGTTGTGAATTCATACAACATCCGAGGAAGAGGCGCGAGCTGCAGCCCCTCCTTGAATTTTACAAGTAAACTAGGAAAGAAATACAGGAATCACAGCTGAGCCCAAAACAATTCTTCCCTATTTACCCCTTGCTTGGCTAACGCATCTGACAAAGTATTTGCTGATCTCCCCACCCACTGTACAGTAACCAACATATTCCTTGTCAACCAACTGAATTTCTTCATTTCATTCTTGTAGCGCCATATAGCCTCTTCAGGTTTTGGCACTAACTTTGGAGAGTGAGAAGCTTTGGCATAAGGTGATAGTAAGCATACATGGCTTGATGCAAAATAGCTAGGGTGCTGGTTTATCCACCAGAGCAACTTTGGCCTCTCCCCGGAAAGCTATTCATGTGATCCTACTTTTCCTCAACTTTATTAGGTATGATTTATAGTTAAGGTCTAAAATTCTGTTTTGGGAGGACCCTTGGGTGGGAGATGCTACTTTATAAGACACCTTACCTTCCCTTTATGCCATCTCTTTGCTAATAAAATGAGCCTATCTCCTCCTTTTTTCTGTATCTGATGGGGTGGCGTGGGATCTGGGTTTCAAAAGACGATTAAGAGAGTTTGAGTGGGGCTCAGATCTACCCAGGAGCTGTTCCCACATCTCTACCCACGAGACATTACAACTGCCCATTGGGAATATCACCCTTGTCATTGATGGGGAGATGTTCCCAATACACAGTGGTGGTGCTCTTGAGTAGGTATGTGGGAACAACTTGTGGGTAGCAGATCCTGAGTGGTTTGAGTGTTCCCTAGTCACTGAATTACTACAAATCCTTGATTCAGTTGTTGACCCTCTCAAGTTTGATGAGAGAATTTGCACTTCCAACCCAAAAGGCTCTTTTTCTTATGCCTCCTAGACGCTGGTTTCTCCTATTTCCATTGGGTCCTCTTTTTTGATGCTTGAGGTTTGGTGTAAACCGGTTCCTTTAAAAATAGAGGCTCTTTGTTGGGAGGTTTATCATGGAAAAATAGAGTCTCTTTGTAGCTATGGGTCTCGGACGGGGGTTCTGTTTTGTTTTGGGTGCTGTATGGTTTTCTTGTCCAGGTTTCTTTGCTGTGTCATGTTAGTGCTTTTTTCTTGTTTTGGGGTTTGGTTGTCGGGGTGATTGGGTTTTTGGGGGTTTGGCATACAATGGTGTTAAGCTTTAGTCAGTTGTACTTTGGGTTTTTCATTTCATTCGGGTGATTGCTTATCACCTTTCCTTGTATTCTGTTTTTTTCCTGTTTTAATAATTTTTTATTTATCTTAATAAAATCAAAACTCAGGAGTTATTTCAAAAAAGAAGAAAAAATGTGTGTTTGTCCCCAAACTAGTGTTTGCTCTGCAAGGAAAATGGTGAAACTGCTGAAAACCTTTTTATCTCGTGTTCATTTGTTACCGATATTTAGGATTGGTGCTTTTCTCTTCTTGGGTGCAGGTGGACTCCACCTGCAAGCTTGGAGAGTTTGTTTGTAGGTGGGACTTTTAGATGGCCAAAGAAGAGTGGAAGAGTAATGTGAAGGTGCACTAGGGCTGCTGTACTATGGACAGTATAGGAAGAAAGAAATGCAAGAGTCTTCAAGGAAGAGGAAAGACACTTGGAAGCTCTTATTGAATGCATTTTAATAAGGGTGATACACTGGATGAAATCTTTGGACCTGTTCTCATCTACAATTTTGGTATTTTAAAAAGGAGTTGGAGGGATGTGGCTTCATCGTCTACAAGGAAAGAAAAAATTATCAAACCCTGGATTCCACCCTTGGAAAACGATATAAAACTTAATTTTGATGGGAGCAGACTCTGTTAGGGGTGAGCATTTGGTTTATTCAGTTAAAAACAAACTGAATAAACCAAAATTTTATAATAATATATTATAACATGTAATATATATTATATATTATAATATGTATTATTATATATCATAATATATATATATATATATCTATATATTATGCAATCAAATGGTTACTAAGGGGAACGACAGTAACTGTTCAATGGGTCCCAAGGGAGGCAAATGGACTAGCAGATTGTTTAGCTAGGCAAAGGGTTGATGGGGAGCAACTGTACTGGGCTCAATTGTAATATCCGTACTCTTTGGGGTAACTCTACCCCTTACAATTCACATTGTACATTCTTGTTTATATTAATGAAATAATTCCTGGTTAATTATCAAAAAATATCGAAATGTATTTCTTAAACCCTTAATGTAAATCTATTTGGACATAAATTTAGGACTTTCTGTTGGGAGATGTTCCACCTAAAAATTAACGTGTGCAAGACTCTTCAAAAGAAAGGACCCAAGATAGAAGTCTGGTGGGACAATATTCAAATATGTTTCTTAAACCTTTAATGTAAATCTGTCAAAAACTTCAATTGCTTTTATGCTTATTGGATGTTGGAGTTGATACTTTGTTAACTAAATGAAAATGCAGTGATGAGAATTTTGATGTCCATCGTGCTCAAACAATACTGGATGAGGATCACTATGGTTTGACTGATGTTAAGGAGCGAATAATGGAATTCATTGCAGTTGGAAAACTTAGAGGAACCTCTCAAGGTTAGTGAGATCCATTTACAGTTTTTCTCTGATAAATTTGACATTTTGACTAGCATCTTTGCTTTAGATTATGTAAAGTTTATATAAAGCAACCATTTCCTAAAAATGTTGTTTCAGAAATGTTTGTCAGACGTGTTGCCATGGAATTAACAGAAAAATGGTTTCTTTACAGTTGTCCAAAATTTACATATATGACGTATTGATAATGCCTTGCCTATGAAAAGGGGGGAAAGGATGGTTCATATTATCATTTACAGCTTTTGCTATATATGAAGCCCATGCTCAGATGCAAGAGTATTGGAACCTGACAGAGATAACCAGTGATGGGGTACCACTTTCAGCTGGGTTGGGATCTGACTATGCTCAGGCCATGACCTTTGAGAAGCCACTCAGACATGCCAGTCTAGATGGGTCTAAGTACTGTAAAAGTTAACTTGACCAAGGACTGGACCTCATTAGACAGGTCAAATGTCAAATTGGGCATTTCTATGCACGTTACTGCATTCATTCCTATGCACCATAAACAAAGATCATTTGGTTCTTCTGATTAATATCTTAAACTTGATCCAGAGCAATGTTAATGTTATTCATTCCCTGTAACTTTGAAAATATTAGCATCTTATTTTTGGAGTTCTGTGTAATAATTGCAGGAAAAATCATTTGCCTGTCTGGGCCTCCTGGAGTGGGTAAAACCAGCATTGGTCGTTCCATTGCACGTGCCTTGAATCGTAAGTTCTATCGGTTTTCTGTAGGAGGATTGGCTGATGTAGCTGAAATTAAGGTACAGTGGAGAACTCTTTGCTAAAGTGATCCATCAATACATAGATCTTTATCATAACAGCAGAAGGATTGTTTTTCTTGCCTTGTTAACTTCTACTACTTTTCAGGGGCATCGTCGAACCTATATAGGTGCCATGCCAGGAAAGATGGTGCAGTGTCTGAAAAATGTTGGAACAGCTAACCCTCTTGTTTTGATAGATGAGATCGACAAGGTATTTTGTGGGTTTTCCATTTTTCTATCTCAGCTGAATGGATCTGTTTCTTTTAGTGCATCTTTTGAATGTGAAGGCAATGAGTTTTTGGGTAAAGCATTTTGTTCGAGTCGTTATGAGTTTTAGTCTCTATTCTGTCTTGTATTCATGGTAGACCTTCTTTTTCTAACCAATTGGCTTTGTCATTAATGAAAATGTTTATTACAACAGTTGGGAAGGGGGCATGCTGGTGATCCTGCAAGTGCATTGTTGGAGCTTCTTGATCCAGAGCAAAATGCAAACTTTCTTGACCACTATCTTGATGTTCCTATAGACTTATCAAAGGTGAGTGACTATCTATGGATTTTACCACAGAAAAGTTTTCTCTTTGACTGGTCATTTGCACTCTTTCTTCCCAAATTATGGTTTTGTTGGTTTTGAGGGTTGAATCCTGTTTGTGCATGTATTTCTGCATGATGTCATATAAATCCTAAACAGGTCTGTTTTACTCTGGATTAAAGAGAAGAAAATAACAGTTAAACAGAATTTGTACAGGGTTTAAGAATTAGAGTTCAAGGATAAATTTAGAGATTTAAAGGTTGGAGGTCAGCTGTGATTTTTAGATGCTACCTAGTTTGTGGCTGGAGTGTGTTTAAACTGTTTTAGAAGCATATTATGTTAGCATGGAAGTTGGAGACCACAAGCTTAATTTCTTTTGTTTCTATTCATTTTCACATTTTACCATATTGCAACATGATTGCCCTACATCTGACCAATAAACAAGTGAAGCTTCAATTTGACTTCACCTTCCAATGGAATCCCAGGCCAGAGGGGTTGGAGTTTTTTTGTCTTCTTCTTCTTGTTGTTTTATTTTAACAGGAATGGAAGCATTTGCTGGGCTTGTAGCGAGCTCCATTGGTGATGTGGACTTGACCAATGGTGAGGTGCTTTCCCTCCTAACAGGAGCTCAAATAGCTAATGGTATTCATTGTACATCCATAGCTATGGAGAAATTAAACTAATGCTACTGGATGGAACAATGGATTGGGTTGAGGGCCATGGAGGCTCTCGATTATCTAACTGAGATCAAGAAAATATTGACACTTCTCAGTGTGCCAATTAAGTAAAAGAATTGAATGTTACTGTTGATGGACCTGCAGATCGGTATTGGTACAACATTTTTGTGTTGCAAAAGTGCAATTCCTTAGTAGCCTTTAAACAGATAAATTTGAAAGCTTGTCCCTGAGTTGCAAGGTGCCAGCCAGCTGGTTGGTAAGGTCTCCTGCTGGTCGTAGCGGAGACTTGGGATCAAGTCCCTCCTGCACCTAGGTTGGGGGATGGGCAACCCCCTGTTGTGTAGCCCTTCAAAAAGAAATAAAAAAAATGCTTTCCCCTGAGTTTGCTAAATAGTTTACTAGCCATATTTCTTCATATTTACTGAAATATCTTATTGATTACTGATGAGAAAAAAAGTTTCTAGCCTCCACAGCATAATCTGAAAGCAATTCTTGACTCTGTAAAAGAGCCATCACCTCTGCATTGGTGGAGTTTGCATCCCTCATTTCTCCCTATCAGTGAAGATCCCATCAGTACTAGCTGGTCCAGGATTTCCAAAAGAATAGCCATGAAATTGTAATTTCACATCCCCCAAGGACTGTAGGGGTGTGTGTTCTGGGGTAATAGAGGATGAGGAATAGATTCTAGGGTCTCCAAAAAAATCTCTTTTGTAAATAATTTTGACAGATACTTAGAAAAGACTGCTTTGTTCACCTAAAAAAAATATATGACCATGTTGTTCCTCCCACACTCTCTGCATAAGTGCTGATGATAGCTTTTCAATTCATATACCCATGAGACAGGCTCAAGCAGCTTTTATTGACAGAAACATCTATCCTCTACGTGTAGCCACTCGTTCAACATCCAATTGTCTTCCTGTACAGTATCCACTGGAGTCTTTAATCCAAGTATTTCATTGTTATGGAGTGGCAAAAAAGCAAAGCTAAAACATGTGCAACAAGAAGTTGTACACAGGGATTTACAAAACATTGCCCAAGCAGTCCTATACCCCCCAGGCCTGGCTTTACAAAAAGATATTCTCATGTTCAAAAAAAGAGTTGTAATTCCTATCCTTGAACAATTTGTTTACAGAAAGCCAAGACATCATTTTTCCCACTATTCTCAGAAACACAGAGTTTAAAATTATTTAGTTGGTTTTTTAAGGTGGCATGCTTTTGCTTTTTGAAGCATGGCTATTCTAAAGTATCAAAATAATTCAGGTAGTAGATCATATATGCATATGTAATATTCATATATAACTGAATTGGCAATCTATTGCCAACTTTTGTGGCATTAATTCCACTCTTTTTTTTTGGACAAGTAATGCCTAGTTTTGTAGAGTGCCAACTAGACAGCTAACATCCATTCCTCCCAAAGGTAGAGATCAGGTTGAATCAAATTGTGTTGGCCTAGATTTCTTCACATTTTCCCTTTAAAGAAATAATTTCTATGATCAATTCCATCAATTCTTTGTAACTTGATGTAAGGTACATAACATTGTTGTACCAAAAATCATTGCCAATCCAGCCATTTTATTTTTTATTTTTTTGATAATCAATCCAGCCTTTTTATGTTTGCAACCAAAGATTTTATATTGAATATTGTATATCATATTTGTTGCAAAAGCTTTATTAATATGAGATTGCATCATTATTTGAATGTATCTTTCTTTTTTTTTATATCTTTTGAAGGGCTACACAACGGGGGGTAGCCCATCCCCCAACCCATAACCGACC